TTAGTTTTAGTTATATTCATTTAATTTATGAATTAAAAAATAAAATTTTTAATGTACATACATTGAAACAATTAATATTCCACTATTAAAGTTCTTTTTTTTAAGCAATTACCTATCAGCAAGATGAGCCTTGTCGGTGAAAATATTTTCACCGACAAGGCTCATCTTGCTAATGTCTAATTCCCTCAAAAAGGAAATTTAACTTTCAGTAAGGTTAAATAACTAATTTGATCCTTGAACTTTCAATTTTGAACCAAGTTCATCCTTAAACTTACTACATTATCGAATTTGTCCTTAAACTTTATATTTTTTTGTTGCCAACTTGTTAATTTTCCTTAAAATTTAAATTTAATTAACATTGTACAATGATAATTATTTAATTATATATGTTATAACTAATTGATATTATTTAATTATTTAATTAATTACATAAATGACCAAGTTTGATTGTATCTAGAAGGATTTTACTAGATAATCATAAGAAAATAAGAGAAATTGAAAAAAAAATTGAACATAAGAGGCAATGATATTACAGTTCTTGAATGGATCACAATTTTTGAATGGTAGCATCCCAAAACTTTTTTTCAAATGTAAGACGCCTATCATTACCAAAAATCGTTGTAATTGTTTCTGAGGACTCAATAGGGGTTTTTGGTGGATTTGATAGAAATGGTGACTAATAACGATTCGAGCAAAATTTTGCAATATGACCCTCACGGTTACACAGTTGACAAGTTACAACATATCGGTGCGTGCAAACTGTAGCTAAATGTCCAGGAGTATCACATATTTGACAAACAGAGTAGTCTGCAATATTAGGCAATGGAATGTGTTGGTCACTTGATAAATTATTCTTTGCTTTTTTCAACTTCCTCTTGGGAGAACATTGAGATGGGCAATTCCATAATGATTCAAGAGTATCCTCAATGATTCCTGTGTAAAATAACATAAAGTTAAGTAATATGATAGTAAATAGGATGCACGAACGGGAAATGAGAAATAAGGGAAGGAAAAAAAAAAGTATACCATCATATTGGCTGTCAAAATATTCTTGACTTTCCAATTGGTTGTCAAAATAATCTTCACTTTTCAATTGGTTGTCAAAATATTCTTGACTTTCCAATTGGCTATCAAAATATTGTTGACTCTCCATTAAGCAACAAAAAAAAGAGTTTTGAAATTTATAAAAGCTATTACTTTTAAATTATAATATAAAAATAATTACGTGGAAATGAAAAAAAGTGAATTGCAAAAGTAAGGGAGAAATAGCAAGAAATTAAAAAGTGTGTGCATAATGGTTGGGGAAGGTGTATAAATAATGGCTTTGGCCAACCATCGGTCAAAGAGGTTAATATCAGCAACATATTCCTTGTTGTTGATATTTGGTTGGTAAAAAGATAGGAATAACAGCAACATGGTATATATCGCTAATACTTAAGATAGTTGGAAAGGTTTTCAACAACATAATTCTTGTTGTTGAAAGTGAATTTCAATAACAAGACACATGTTGCTGAAAGTAGAGCTCAATTAATTCACTGGAATATATTAGCAAGATGGAGTAAGTTGCTGAAAGTAACTTTCAGCAACAAGAAGTATATTGCTGAAAGTGGAGCAGCTTTTCAACCTGTGGAGTGTCCTGTACAACTTTCAGCAACATAGGGCTTGTTGTTGATATATATTTTCAGCAACAAAAAATCCCATGTTGCTGATATATTGTTGCTAAAAATCAAAGTTTTAGTAGTGAAAGCACTTGTAAATTTATGATTTTTTTAACAACCTTAATAGTTTAGTGATAATTTTTTTCCAAAAAAAAGTAAAAGATTGCATATTTTAATCACGTGACATGGTTAAAATGAGTTATGGAATAAAACATAACTGCATCTCATTTTGCAACTAAAAAAAATCCATCATTTTCTTCACTTGGGGTTGGTGTCAGCGGATTTGTGAATGCCGTCGTGGGCTTGGTTTTCCATCAGAGGGGAAGTTATAATTGACCCTATTCCCAAATTCATCAAAATAAGATAATTCGGCTGGGCCGACTCCTGAACGTGCTAACTAGAATGGGGCTTATCCCGTTCCTGTAACCAAACACCACTCTACCTTAAATCCCAACTCTGCAGCCTCCCACTGCAAGCAACACAGATTCTCCCCTTCTGAACAACTTTCCGGTGAGATTTATGGTTTATGAATTGTTTCAAATGCCGAATTCTTTGATTTTCAAGTACACTTCAATTCAGTTTATTTTTTCCGACGAGCGTTTCTCTGGTTTATGAATGCAGATAATTTTGTTTGTCTCCGACCGGAAGAAGATGGATTCGACGGCGGTGCTCTTTAACCAGCTCAAGGTTTGAATCAATCAACTGGATTATACTATCCTGTTCATTCATAGTCTGGAATTGAATTCTTTATTGCATTGCGTCAATGTCTGCAGACTGCTCAACCGTTTTTCTTGTTAGCTGGTCCGAACGTGATCGAATCTGAAGAACACATTCTCCGGATGGCCAAACACATTAAGACCGTCACTGATAAGTAGGATTTGATTTATTTCTTTTCAATGCATAAACGAAATTGTTGATTCAAGTCTCTTGAGTTACCATTTTAGAAAAAAAAAAAAAAAAAAGAGGAAGAAAAAGAGGAAATTTTCAATTTTGGGTATTTAAATGTGTATTTGTGTGTCTCTAGTATGATATATAGATCTTGTTCTATGATCATTGTAGACTTGGTTTGCCTTTGGTTTTCAAGTCAAGTTTTGACAAAGCTAATAGGACATCCTCCAAATCATTTCGAGGTCCAGGAATGATGGAAGGGTTGAAGGTGCTGTTTTATTTATTTCTTTATTTATGTTTTTTTATTTTCTCATGCATTCGTGTGTCCACAAATGACACTAAACTGTGCAATTATCATACCATACATGGGACTGAAGTCACTGAACTCGATATAATCTTTGGTATATTTATTATTAGATGCTACTATAAATGTTATTTGTTCCCCAGGAATAGCACCTAAAGTGTGTAAGAAGAAGCACATCTGGCATTCCTTTGTAACAAATGTTTATATATCAATTTTCTTCTCTGGCTGCAGATCCTTGAGAAAGTAAAGGTAGCTTATGACCTCCCCATTATAACAGATGTGCATGAAACTATTCAGGTATGATTTAAACTTTTCCTATTTCTCATCAATATGTTTGGTTTGATGCTCATATTTTGTTTTACTTGTACAGTTATTGTTAACTTTAGAAATCTGGCTAACAACATAATTTGGCGAGTGTCAATTTACATTTGAACATATCGCATATCTTGAGCCTTGGCTACCAGTGCATTCAGTCACTCTTTACCTTTATCACAGGCAGTGCTTATTCATCACACTTTTCTTTCTTTTTTTTTTTTTTCTTTTCAGTGTGAACCAGTTGGCAGAGTTGCTGATATCATTCAGATTCCAGCATTCTTATGTCGTCAGGTTAGTTGATATTTTCTTATTGTAACCACCCTTCCACTATCAACATACTTCCTGAACTGATTTTTGTTTATTTGATGTTAAAACTCTTTTTTTCTTATGTTGGTTTGCCTCTTGAACTTTCAGACAGATCTTCTAGTTGCAGCAGCCAAGACTGGAAAAATTATCAATATCAAGAAAGGTCAATTTTGTGCTCCTTCTGTGAGTGTTCTTTTCTTTTCTTTCTCTCTCTCTCTCCTTTTTTTTTTTTTTTCAAAAAAAAAAAAAAAAAAAAAGAAGAAAAAAAGACAAAGGTTGAATCATTTTTGATAGTTTGGTATTACAAGCTCTTGAATGACACACATGCACCTTTCTGGTTGTTTGTCCAGCTGATAATTATGTTAATTTGTAGGTCATGGCAAACTCTGCTGAGAAGATCAGATTGGCTGGAAACCCACATGTGATGGTCTGTGAGAGAGGCACTATGTTTGGCTATAGTAAGTAAATGTTGAATATAATGGCCCAAAAAAGTAATATTTAATATGTTTTCAGGAACTGTTTTCAGCTTCAAGAACCTATGTAGGATTCAGGTGATTGAATTGGGTTGGGGGGGTGGGTTTTGTATGACCATCCTAAAGAAGACCAGTAGGTCTATATGAGGGCAAATTTATGGTTTCAGAAAGTTAATATGGTAAATTACTTATCTAGGAAAATTGATGGTGGGGATGTGCAATGGGCCTGGGTACACCAATGTCTGCAACAATACCTATGCTGATTCCATAGGACCAAACCAACGTTCAAATGTAATTGTGTATTTGTTTTATGGTGCCCCTTTTTCTTAATTCTGTTAAAGTAGGCATGGAACCTGCAATAGCACTTCTCTTTTTGTGGTATCTAAGTTTTAACTAGACTCCAGGCTAAGGTATTGCCTTAAGCAAACATTAGGACTAATTCACATTATTTTTTCCTCCTTGGTTTCTGATTGATCCTAATTCATGGATTTTGATTCATAGATGATTTGATTGTTGATCCACGAAATTTGGAATGGATAAGAGAAGCTAATTGCCCAGTTGTAAGTAAACTGCTCACTTTTGTTATCTTCTACGCTTTGTGACATACAACTATTTTGTCTCATTTGGTTCACAAAAAATATGAAGGAACTTACCAAAAGAACAAAAAACAAATATGAACAAAAGGATAATTTGAAGAAAATTGTAGAAGTATGAATTGAAAGAAAAAGGTATTTTTCTTCTAAGTTTTGATAAATTATATTCTTTTTCTTCCAAATTAAATTAAATTACAAAAGACAAAAGAGCTTGGAATTTACTTTGTTTACATTCTCATTTTTTTAAAAAGTTTTCCTTGATCATTTCCTTTCCTCCGGATCATCATTCTTTAACTGTTTAGTCTTCAAGCCTTCCAAGACATTATGGTCAAGAAAATCTTTTAACTCTTACCAGTATGCTTAGATAGCTCTTTCTTTATACCTGTTGTCAACAATTTTTCAATGATTTCACCAAGAAAAGAAAATAAATAAAGATATTTGCATACTATTATTAACTATAACACTTCTCATCTGTTTCATGTGTTCCACGACAGGTAGCAGATGTAACACACTCGTTACAACAGCCAGCTGGAAAAAAGGTATGAATAGTCTTACAATTTGATTTTGTTGCATTTTAAAACTGGCCCATCATCCAAATCTTTATTTTTATTGAAAGTTAACCACTATTATTATGTTTCATGAACTTCAGTCAGAATTGTTCTGAGTGGGGAATGAACTTGCTACTTGTTTTGAATTGGATGAGATTACAAAAGTTCTTTCTAATTGATTCTTTTTTATTATTCTTTTTTTTTTCTTTTCTGGTTGTTGAGAAGCTTCTCCTGATCCCATGTGTGTAAGAAATCATAGCATATTGAGTCACTGGAGAAGCAATAAAATTTGCATCAGTTTTACCCATTCTGATGTTTACAATTGGCAGTGCTGCTTTATGACATATCAGAATAAATTGATATGAGGCTTTTCTATATCTAAGGCTCGTACTTGCTTCTTTTATCTATTTTTTTAAATTCTTTTCTTGTATATGTTCATGCTGTTCCTCCTCTTAATAGATAGTTCATTTTAGTCTATTAAATGTTCATATTCATCTCTTCTGGATTTTATTTTCCAATCAATGGGTTTAAAGAAATGCTTTCTTGTATAGTTGGATGGTGGAGGTGTTGCTAGTGGAGGTCTTCGTGAACTAATACCATGCATTGCAAGGACAGCTGTTGCTGTTGGAGTGGATGGAATTTTCATGGAGGTACATGGTGCTTTATTGGTCTAGCAGCTATCTCCCTGCTTTAATATATAATAACTTTAGACTTATAACTGGAATCATGATGGCCCCCTGTACTTTTGTACTTGAGTTTCTTTTACTAGGACTAGAATTCCTTGGTTTATTCTGAGTGAATTGCCTTGGTTTCTATAAGTATGATCTGGAAAAAGTGGTGTGTGTAAATTAAGAATTTTCTTTTTTAGGATATCAGTGTCCTTTAACCCCGGATTTTATCATTTTCAGCTACTTAACAGCTTCTGTCTGTTGTTAGGTTCATGATGATCCTCTAAATGCACCAGTTGATGGTCCAACACAATGGGTGAGTTATCTTTCTAGTTTTCGGTCAAATTCAGGGGCATCTAAGTTTTTAGACCATCTTGCTAATGCAGGCCTTAAAGAACCCTATTCATTTTTTTTTTGTTCCATAGGCATAATTTTTATTGTAATATTTACACTTCCTGCATCCATAATTCCTAAATCTAAACTAAATTTTAAAAGTTAATCTTACACAACAAAGAATAATGAATTTCAGTTCAAAAGTGGCTGCACTATATGATGGCTTAACCATAATATCTAATTGAGTTGTGAACTTAACATCTGTGTGGCTTTTTGCTCAAACAGCCTCTTCGTAACTTGGAGGAATTGCTAGAAGAGTTGATGGCAATAGCTGTAAGTTCTTTGCCTATCGTTATTATGAGTGGTTTTGTTTCTGATCTTGTCTTACTCTTGATCATTTCTTTGTTGTTGTTGTTTCATAGAGGGTAACCAAGGGGAAGCAAAAATTCAACATAGATCTCACACCATTTCGTGATTAGAAGATTCCCAGACTTTTCTAATAGGGTAAGGAGGCAAAGGTCACTGGATTCCAGGAATTATATCCCTCTCACTGTTGACCAAAATGTTTATTTGTCTAATAAAAGTACCATTAAAGACAAAGTAAATGCTTCTCTTCTACGATGATACTTCTGTTGCAATACTGCAATTAGATTTCATACATGACGTGATTATATTTTCTTCTAGTTTTGAATCTTATCTGTCAAATCTGGTTCTAGTTTTGCTTCCTCATCTCTAGGAAATATCCCATCTACCCAAATTGTGTGGAGGGCAATGGTATCTGAGGATCTTGCACTTCAGTTTACATTTCAAGTCTATTAAGTGACATTGTATATGCTGGCCTAGTGTCTTGAATTCTTGAAGCACGTCTAAATTTCTTTAGTACCCACTTGTCACCATCATGATCTTTTCGAATTTGCAGGTGTTTGTCCCAAATTCTAGTGCGTTCCAGTAATTGCAAGCTTCGGCCACCATCAATGTTATCCTTGGTAGCCGGCACAATTAGACCCTGCCATAGCCCCTCGAAGCTGAAGTTATTTATGTAAAACTAAAAGCAACTTATTTGTAGTATTGTATTGATTGATCTTGCTAGTTGCTACTGACGGATGATATCAGCTAATAAACTTGCTTCTATTGTTCTTAGCTTGAATGTTTGGCTGTGAGCTGGGGCATGGATTGGCCAACAAGAAAAATGAAAGAGATAAAAATAATAATCAATTGTTTTACAATCTGAATTGCACTGTATTGCAAAAGGATAATAATAGAAGGGACGATTTTATGGGACAAAAATGGAGAATGATAAGTGTGGCAAGGTCAAATCGGTTATTTTGTATCATGCACTTTAATCTTGCCACACCTATCGTCTTCTGTTTTCATTTCATAAAATTGTCCGTTCTATTATTATTTATTGCAAAATGATATTTCAAAAATAATATATCAAAAAGATGATAGAATTTTTATTGATGATGATGATGATAATAATAATAATAATAATAATAATATAATAATCACACAACTAACAAGATAAAATAGTAGGGATTACGGAAAGTGCAGCAAAATGAATTTTCTGATCAGATTGTATAATAAAAATATAGTTTAAAATTTGAAATTATTAAAGTGTCTTTGGTGAAAAGAGTTTCATTAAGGCTATTTACTCTTAGTAAATGGGTTTATTTAACTTTAAGGGGATAGGATAAGAAGTTATTATTTAATAATAATTATGACTTTTTTTTTTAAAAAAAAAGTAAATTTTTATATTTAAAAAATAAATTCTGATTTTTAATTTAAAATTAATTAATAAAAATCTAACAGCATGTACAATTAAAAGAAAAAGTTTATCATTTTACAGGATAAAAAGTGATAATTATTATTACATAAAATCATTAAATTTAAAAACATCATAGCATTTTGATTATAAGAAAAGAGAGAAAGTTTTGTAATATTTTATATTAGATTCTTTTTTTTTTTTTTAAGCATATTGACAAGTGGTAGTTCGAAATCACTTCCCAAAAAAAAAAGGGAAATGCACCACTGACTGGCTGATGTCAGTGTGCCTCAAGGGCCGAGTGCTTATTAGATTCTTATTTGTAGTTGATTGTTTAATAATTTTTTATTTTATATTTTTGTTTTTGTATTAAAAATCTTTTCAGAAATTACCCTAAAAGTCAAAAAATTTGATTTAAAATAATTCCGCCAAGTAGGGGGTATAAGTGTAAACTTAGTTTCGTATGTTTGAAAAGTGAAAACAAAAAGGAAAGGCGCAACGGTAACCCCTCCATTTTCTTTCCAAAGCGCTCTCTCTTGAGATCGAGTAGACACTTCACTTTCTCTCTATTTTGAACATCCACAAAAATGGCGTTGGTAAAGGTAGGTCACACATGTTAATTGAAAGATGAATATTTCTTCTTAATATAAAAAGAAAGATCAATTCTTTCCTCTTCTTTGTCTTTAGGTTTTTAAATTATTGAGAATAATTGTGGTTTTTTTTTTCCTTTAATATTTAAGGATTCATTACTAAGGATCGGGTTTGAATTAGATTGGGTTTACTTAATTATGCATTTAGGTTTATCTTTTCTTGGGTAATTTGATTTTGTTTTACAATCGAGAAGATGAGGGTTTCTAGGCTACTGAATTTTGATTTTGGGAAATTCATCTTTTTATAGAGGTTTTCTAGGGTTTTTATTTTCATCCCTTATTTTCCCCAGTCTTTGCTTCGAAATATACTTACTGTAAGATTTTGTTTAAAGTTCATTACGTTCTTGCAAATTTCAGGGAAAATTGAAACCGGGACCTAATCAAAGGATTGACGATGGCCATAACTCCAGAAACGGTAGGGCGTTTATTAATTTTGTTTGTTCCCATGAAGGGTTTCAAATTATATACAGCTGATCCTTTCTTCCTGTTGTTTAACTTGAAACAGTGGCAGCCAATGCTTTCAAAATTTACACAGAGATTGGGAATGTCAAAGTTGATGCAGATAGCTTGTAAGTGTGATTTATAATTATGTTATAATTTTGTTTTGTTAATATATTTAGAGATATTAAAGCAAATGTGAATGATGGTGTTTGTATATGATCTTATGGTGTTTAAAATAGCTGAAGATGGCATTTAGCCACTAGCCAGTATTCTACGCCCAAGTTGAACATTAATACCTGTCAATCCAGGATACCATTTTTCTCCTTCCTCTAACCCTTATTTGGTTGCTTTGAAGGAAATCAATGGAACATGGCAAAGGAGCTTTGCTAACTACTGCAAGTAATCTCAAGGTTAGTACTTTGGATAATGGCTAGATTGCTTGATTTCCTTTAGCAAGCTGTTTTTTTTTTAACTATTTGCACTTACATTTACTCCTATGTTTTTATTTTTTTTTATAATTTAAAGGGTAGTTTGAAGAATAATGTAAAGAGCAAAGACAAACTTGAAACTTCTGGTAAGTTTCAGTTGATTGGTGACATGTATCAGAGTTGTATATGTTTCTGGAGCTTCTTCTACAGTTCTGATTTGCTTTTTTCAGCTAATACAGATGTTCGAAGAAAAGTGTTGGCTGATGTGAGTAATATCAAAGGAAATATTTCTAGGAGTGTAGTGTGTGATAGCTCCAAAGCAATGTAAGTCAAATATTATGCTTCCATTCTTAACCTTTATGAATGAGAAGGGACATGATATGTAACTTATAACATGGCAATGAAACATAATAGTGATGAGTAGTCATATTGCCCATTCCTAAGTATTAAGTTATTTATAAAGAAAAGCATTTCTGTAGCGTAAGATCTATTTTAATGCCGTCTTTTGTGTTTTGGTCATTTTATTACTCATCTAACAGCAGTAAATATCTACATGATTCTTTATTACCAGGGCTACAGAGGGCCGAGCTGCTGGACCTGTGAATGCCACATCAAGAAAATCTTTCACGGTATGAACTAGAAACAAACTTGGACTCTTTTTCCTGTTCTTCCCCTCTGTGTTATGTTGTAAAATTCTCATAAGAGATTCTCTTAATTAGTTACTGATCTGAACTACTTGGAAACACCTCTCTGCAAGAATTATTAGTGGATAATATAGCACTTTCAAATAGTACTTTAATTTGAAAATTTAGAGGTTTCTTTATTTATGTTAAAATTTGCATATCTGCATATGTATGACCAAACATATTTATACATCTGAAATGGCTGGGCTAAAATCTTTACCAAAGTGAGTATTATCCTTAAGGATCTCATCTTTTAGTTTTATAACAAACACTCACTTGTTAGTCTCCATTATGGTTTGTTTTTTAGAGTTTCATTTGTGAAGGAGTTAATATGTTTTTGTGTTGCTTTTATAATAGGGAAAAGGGAAAAACTGCCTAAATCAAGGTGGTGTTTACTTTCCTACTTTGAAGACTTATAATTATTCTGAAATTTTGTTTTCACACCTTTCTCTGATTGATACCTACATTGTGTTATCACCTGTCCTGAACGACAGAAGGTAGCAAAGGTGGGAAAGCCTCTTTGGATGGCCGAGGTACTCAAACCAAGAATTCAGCCCTTGGATCCTTTATTGTTAGCAGCAGCAGGTGCCTGGTTTATTAGGAATTTCACAATATTTTTATCTTTTTTCTTTTTTAAGATTAGGGTACAGGGCATCAGTATGTCTTCTGTAATTTTCTTACAGAGTACTGGTCCATCAGAGCTTCGGCTTAGAATTTTTTTTCTGTGGTTTTATTTTATTTTTTATTCTTCAGGGCTAGGGCTACAGGAAACTCAATTATTCCAATGAGGTTTGTGAACCCAAAAATTAATAATTGGTAAATTTCTCAAGTACAAGAATTGTACAGTACTTGTTATTGATGCAATTATTTAATTTCCATTTCTGCTTGAAGGAAGTCATTACCAGTGTTAAGGAGATCAAACCAAGTGGATAAAAAGGACTCAAAGGTTGTTAATATATTAGACAATCTATTTTTTTCCTTTTATTTTTTATCCATATGGATTGATTTCACATTAGTCCAAATCTTTTGGGATTCATATATCTTCTCTTAATTTACTTTCTTTTGCTCATAGGAAAATGCTGGAAGCTTAGAAAAAGCTAAAGAAACACAAAGGGCCACAGGTAAGCTGCATGTTAACTTTAACCTAATATTCCATTGGTCCCTGGCATAAAATTGCAGAAATCAAAATGATTGCGTTCTTATTCTTTTTTTCTTTTTCAATGCTGTTTTCAGATGATAGTAAAGTTAGCAAGAAGGTTTTACCAAGAGTAAGTAATGCAAGGAGCCATCTTTGTAGGACTCGAGCAAGTGATGGATTCATACGTGTGTGAGTGATAAGAGTTTCCAATTTTGTACTACTTTCTTTCCCATGAATTAAATGACAGCATTCTTTATTCTGCTTAAATGGATAGCATTCCTCGTGATTGTATGAGTTGATGATCTGTGCATCTAATATGTGGATGTCATAGATCAAGCATAAGCTGATAAAAATACTCAACATAGGAGCTTTCATAATCATGTCTATCCAAAATTATTTAATCACATTATTGAGCAATATTAGGACCAGTAGCAGTTTAGTTATATGGGTTGCTATGCACAGTTAATTGTTCAATGCATAAAGTTAAAGTTACTAATATTTAGCTTGCGTGATATAACTAGGGCCCCTAGAATGCAAACCCATGCAGTTGTTCGTCCTTTGTCAAGAAGATCTGTTCAGGTAATATACAGCTGGCAGTATGATTTTGACATGTAGTTTCTGAGTTTGCATAATGTCATCATCTATTTCCCTTGTTTAAGCACTTTGCACCTTTATTCATTGACATCTGTGTGGTTACAACTCTACATGATGCTCTGATCCAGCCAATAGTGAAGACTGCACTCAGGGCATCCATTGCTCCAGGTGCCTTGAAGTCTAAGAGCTCATCAAGTTTGAAAAAACCTGTATCTGTTCAAGCAACCTTATACAAGGAAAAAGAGGAAGCTGTTAAATCTTCTCATGTGGACAATGTTGTGCCAGTGGTTCCAAATGGAGCCAATCAAACAGATATTTCATCTGATGCCAACAACAACAAAAATGACAATTTGACCAGGAGAAAATCAAATCGTAGGAGATCTTATACATCTTTGTTAATGGCTAGATCAAAGGTTTGGTCCTACTCTGTTATATATTAATGTCTAGTTAACTCCATTTTGAAGTTCAATGATGATTTTCTTTACTTTATAGCTACTAGAAAAACATGGTGAAGTTATGGAAGAAAACCAACCAAAGATCGACAATGCCAGCAATCAACTTGAAGTTGCTGAATATGTTGATGAGATTTATCAGTATTATTGGAATATGGAGGTGATTGTCAATTAGATTCCTTCCCTTTGCAATACTTTTCTTTCTAGAAATTCTTTTAGCCCGCCCTGGAGGATGGCGGGCTTGAAACCCTGGAAGGTCACTTCTTAAATGCTAAGAGAACTGCAGTGTCAGATAAAAATCCTAAAATTAACTTGTTAGATATTTTTCTTACATAAAAGTAATTTATATTTATCACTGCAGGCACAGAATCCACCCCCGGGAGATTATATGTCAATTCAGACAGATATTACACCTCATATGAGGGGCATCCTGATCAACTGGCTAATTGAGGTATGCACCTCCTTTATAGCGTAATTTCATATCGTTTTTCTTATTGTTGTTTCTTGAAGGGCGGCTTATTGGACTGCCCTCTTGTTCATTTTTTTTCCTTGGTCTGTCACTCTGGCTATAGGTACACTTCAAATTTGACCTGATGCAAGAAACACTTTATCTCATGGTCACTTTGTTAGACCAATATCTCTCTCAAGTCCAAATTAAGAGGAATGAAATGCAATTGGTTGGCCTCACTGCTTTTCTCCTGGCATCAAAATATGAGGATTTTTGGCATCCTAGGGTAAATGTTTAACATGTCATTCTTGCAGTATTTTGAAAAGTATATTTCAAACTCAACTTGCTCTCTGAATTTACGTTCTCATCTGTTTTCCTTCTTTTTTTTTTTCTTTTTTTCTTTTTCATTCTAATTGTGCAGATCAAAGAATTAATAAGCATATCAGCTGAGACATACACAGGGGACCAGATGCTTGGCATGGTAAATACTTGCTTTTACTGGAATTTGAGTCAAGTCCCCAAGATACAACCATTATGTGATATGAATATTTGCTGGTTTGTAGGGAGGAGGAAATGAGGGTTTTGGTGTTAGGAATGGGGAATCTAGTTAACTAATTTCTGTAGTTTATCCTTCTACTATAGTATGCTGTTTGTGATTTGTATTCAAAGGCCTGCATGAAAAAGGGATTGTAACATTAACTACCTAAAGGTCATATTTAGTGACCTAAAAAACAGAAAACCTTGTACAGATTTTGACTTTATCTTTACTAAACCTTGTATTTTCAGGAGAAGCTGATTCTTAAAAAGTTGAGGTTTCGTCTTAATTCACCTACTCCATATGTCTTCATGTTAAGGTTTCTCAAGGCTGCTCAGTCAGACACAAAGGTATTTGTTTTTCAGGATGTCAGGACTAAAAGCTATTTACATAAAAATAAAACTCCCTAGTTGTAGTAGGAAAAAACAGAAAGAAGCTGGCCTATATATTCCATAGTTCCATCAATCTAGACACTTCAATTAAATTAGGAAATAGGAATATTTGTTTAAGGCTGCCCATATTCTACTGAATTATGGATATTTCTTTCAGCTTGAACATCTAGCATTCTTCCTCATCGAGTTATGCTTAGTTGAATATGAAGCTTTGAAGTTCAAGTCATCCTTGCTTTGTGCATCAGCTATCTATGTTGCTCGGTGTACCCTGCAAATAACCCCAGCTTGGACCCCCTTGCTTCGCAGACATGCTCGTTATGACGTCTCAGAAATGAGGTATGTGTTCTCAGATGTATGGTATGCCATTCTCCAGCTCTTGCTTAATGGTAAGTTCTTACAAATGTTTTGATTGTCACAGGGAGTGTGCAGAGATGATTTTAAGATTCCAAAGGGCTGCCAGTTCAGGACAGTTAAAGGTCACATATGAAAAGTACACAAGTCCTGATCTCAGTGGTGTTGCTGCAATTACACCCTTACACCAACTTCCTCTCTGATTTGACAATTTAGATCCACTTTTCATCCGTTAATATAGATGCCATAGTATATGATGGATGAGAATTCTACCAGGAAATGGTCCTTGTGAAAGTACTCTCTTCTTGCTGTGTCCTTTTTCATTTTAACCATTGCAATTGTGAGGGAGGGGGTGTTGAACTCACTCTTGGCTGGGGGATGGTGCACTTTTCCAACCGCCCCAAGAGGCCAAGTCATAACTGGTTATGTCTTTGATTCATTTGTTATGTAAAAATGATATTAACACAGTACCTACAATTACAATCTTTTGTTGTATAAGCTGAGATTACTACCTACAGAAAAGTGTTGTGCAGGATTTTTCTTTTTTTTTTTCTCTCTCTGTCAAAAGCTTGTATTTTCCCAAGTTGTATAATTTATTTTAATTTTTTTTCTCATGTTTTCCTTAATCTTGTCCTTATCAGCACATTTGAACAATGCTTTTAGAATGCACCCAAATTTTGATGGGATGTTAAATTGTCCTTAAAGGTAAATGTCAATTCTTTTAGCACATCAAATAATGTATAATAGGTTGTACAACAAGAAACACCATCCACTCACTTAGTTTCTACTCACCCCTTTTAAATTTTAAATTCGACATTTGCAACTTTCAATTACTTAAGACCCCAGCTTTCTAGCATTGAGTTAAATGTCATGGTTGCATAAAAACTTAGAAATCCATGATATTTACCATTGAAAAAAGAGAAAATTAGAATGTCTTAATATTAAAAATATCAACAAGTCAAATTACAATCATTAAATGCATGAATATAGTGTAAATTTTAATTTTATCACATTTATATTATATAATTATTATTAAAAATCATAACATTTTTAATGGGCAAGATATTTGATTTTTCCTTTTTTCCTTCATAATTTGACATTAGCCACTCGAACTCTAGAGGCCTGGATATTGGGCTTAGGTAGGCCTTTGAGCCCAATTAGAGCGTCTTCTTGGAGACATCACATTGACGATTCAGGCAGATGTATCATCAGGAATGGCTGACTTGAAAATCAAAAGAATTTGAGAACACAGGCATAAGAGGCAAAGGTTTTGCTAGAGCTTTAGCTTCTTCTCCTCTCCGCAGAAGATGTGGAGAGCCAATTCCCTGATGACCACTGTTCGGACGCTTCGATGCCTTCAGCAATCGACCTCCATTTCCTCCGACAGACACCTCTTTTCTCCTCTCTTCGCCGCCACCTCCCTCCGCCACTACCGAGCTTCCCGGGATCCCAGGTGAGATTCATCAACCCTTTTACTTCTTTTTTCACAGGGAATAGAAAAGCAATTACCTTTCTCCGCTGATACTGAGTTATGAGTTTTTGGGTGGGTGGATAGCTATGGCTATGAGTATGAAATAATGCCTCCCGTGAATTGGGGCATCCATAATGTGCCTCAGCAGAGGGCTTATGTTGTAGAGAGGTTCGGAAAGTATTTGAAGACGCTGGAATCAGGACTACATTTCCTCATCCCATTAGTGGATCGAGTTGCCTACGTCCACACCCTCAAAGAAGAGACCATTCAAATTTCTGACCAGTCTGCTATCACCAAGGACAATGTCACCATTGTCATCGGCGGCACTCTTTTTCTAACGGTCTCTTCTTCTTCTTCTTCTGTTTTATTTGGTTGATTTTATGTTTACTGCTTCTATAAGAAAGAGGGTTTTGTTTGTAGATTGTGGATCCCGTGCTTGCATCTTATGGTATAGAGAACCCTATCTTTGCTGTTCGTCAGCTTGCTCTGTCTAAGATGCGTAGTGAGGTTGGTAAAATTCTCCTCGATAATATTTTTGAAGCAAGAGAGAGTCTCAATCAGAAGATTGTGGTACGTTCTCTCAATCCTAGAAGTTCCTTTACTGATGTAACATTGCTATTTTCTACACCTAAATGTGTTTTAGTGCTATTGAAGTTTCAGATAATGGAGTATGTGAAAATAGGTTAGTGTTGTTGGAATGCAATGTGACTTTATTCCATTCATTGCTTTACTATTGTGTGCCTAAGTTGATATGATTGAAAACCTATACTATGCCTAAGTTAAGATAGGCCAAGAAAGTTTTGTCCTGTTTACCCAAAATTTATTAATTACAGGCTTAGATACAGTTGCTTTATCTGGACTTCTGTTATCGTTTTTCTTTATAAGGCATTATGTATTCAAATTGAAGGGATGGAATAACAGTAACATTCTTAAATAATTGCCTGAAAATTTTGAATTTTTTTTATCCTTAGTGTTTCTTGTACATGTCTATGGTCATCCAAACTCTTTCTATGATAAAAATATCATAATGTCTAGCTTATAAAGAGTTAATATGGAATAATTGTTGCAGGAGAACATCAATGGAGATGCAAAGGACTGGGGCATCAGGTGCCGTTGTTATGAGATAAGTAAGTCACTGTTTAGTTATCGTTTCTTCTTGGATCTCTTTATTTCCCTAGACATCCTCTTCATTTGCTTTGTTTTTCTTTCTCATGCAGCGGATATAACCATACCTCCTAATATGAAGAAAGCCATGGATTTGCAAGCAGAAGCAGAACGCAAAGCAAGAGCTTTAATTATTCAAACTAAAAGTAATGCCGTATGTTTATTTTTTAAAAATTTATATTTCCCTTTGACATGATATGGGGCTCCTGGTTAGAAGTGTTGTAGTATAATATCTCCAGTTGTAATAAATCATCTAGCAAGAATGGTTTTTCATGACTGTTAATCCTCTTTGATATTTAGTATGAGAAAGATAGGCCAAGGTCAACAGTTATTTTCATCTGCAAATATTGGATTTATAGGATCACAAGTGTTGATTAAAGATGATGCAAGGTCATTTTATTTTTCATTTTCTTGATCAAAGAGCTCCCATTATGTTAACCAACCCAATCGATTTGGGCAATATCATTGATCATCTTGTTGGTTCTCATTTCAAATGTGGCTTTTCACATCTTTTGATGTCTTCAATTTTTGACTAAGTAAATTACTTCTTGATCAGGTGAGGCAGATTCTATCATTTTGAGAGGACAAGCTGAAAGCAAACGAATTGCCTTGCTGTCACAGGCCCTAAAGGAAAATGGGGGAGACAAGGTGAGATTTTCCCATGCTTCAAAATGTTTTCATTCTTTTTGGGAGAGGGGAATCCTTAAATTAGAAGTTTTTTTTCTTGTTCGGGAGAGGGGTATTGATGTTTCTCTACTCTATGGTATATTGTTAAAACAAGTTTTCACATGCTTGAAGTTTCGTGTGAACATAGTGGTTAGCACATAGCTTCTTGTCTATTAAAGTCCTTTTTAATGGGTCTTTTTGAGGACCATTATATTTTGGCTAATGCAAATGAAACATCCTTCTATCTCACTGACTAAACTAGAGAGCAATTCTTTAAAATTTGAAAGTATTGTATAGTTGGAATATTGCAGCAGATATTTTCCGAAATAATGGATGTGCATTAGTTGTATTGTTCTACTCTCTGTAACAAAGTTAAATCCCAGTACAAAGTGCGTAAGGAGTGGGAGTTTTTTGATGTTTTGTCCAAAATAGAATTGCACATAGGTGTAATTTAATGTCTTGTTTGGCATTTGTTACAAGTAAATAGTTGTGATTTACAGAGACCATTTGCATCTTCATGCTCATTTGAGTTAAAATGCAGTTCCAAACTATTGTCTGTTTTGCAGTCAGCTAGTTTGATGGTTGCTGAGCAATATATGGAAGCCTTTGGTAAAATTGCTAAGGAGGTATAGACCTACTCCGTGTTGTGAATATTGATTTTATGAATAATTGTTTGATTGATTTTAACATGATCTTTTACCCCCTCATTTCACTGGTTGCTTCTTTCTTAGGGCACAACAATGCTGCTTCCTAGTACCCCAGATGGTACTGCCAACATTATAGCTCAATCTATGGCAATGTACAACTGCCTTGTTAACAATGTCTCTAGTAATGGTTCTCATGAACCCTCGTCTGAGTCATTAGCTGGAAGAACAGAGGATGATCCCTCCTGGGATGACACTGTAAACACCACAGCTGCCACAACTGATACAAGTCATCCTAGTCAATTGGGATTTTCACTTCAGAAGTCTGACAAAAACAACTAGGATGGACCCATTTTGAGAGAAGTGGTGTATGCTTCTGGTTTTGATACTGCCCTCTTTCTAATTCAGTTTTTTTGTTGTTTTTAGATAAAGGAAAGCGGAATGTTTCTGGACACTCAAATCACTGATAGTGGCATTCTTACTCATTTAGCTGCCTTTTTGTGGCAAATAAGGATTTGATAAATACATAAAAATCTGGATCTTCCATTATTGTTGTATACTGCTCAAGCAAATATCAGATTCAAGCCTAAATTAGAGTACAATACTCAGTAATATAACAGTCAATACGGAAAAAATGCTATACTTAAATTAGGAACTTATTAGGAACTTGTGATTACTTAGGTTTAGTTTGATAGTATAGACCTAGAACCGCAATTGTAGGTTTTTTATCCATTGATATTTCAAGAATATATAAAATATATTTAATATATTTAATATTTATTTTAATTAATATTTTATATATTTTAAAAATAATAAAAAAAATAAAAATTGAAAGAAAAAACAGTAAGAAGCATTCGTAAACGAAACTGTAATATATATACATACATTTATCTGACCTATATACGAGCTGATAAAATATTCTCACGCTTCTTCTCAGTATCAGTCAGGAACCACCTCTGAAAATTCCCAGCACTCCTCCCTATCTACATACAAAATGTAATGCACTACTACATGGATTGTGTTTATTAGTTATGAACAAGCAACCAAACCATCTTGCTCGAGTACATATCCTTGTCGATCCAGTGTCTCTCTAACTGCTCGATAATACTCCACCCAGGGAGAAGTGTACATATCTACAGGTCCCCATAAAAATGTTGGATTAGGGCTTGCAGGGCAGGCAGCAACCAAATCCAACACTGAGGCTGCAGGTTTAAGCGGCTGAGGGAAGTTGAATGCTAGATTATCAACCTTGTGTTCATAAATTTTGCCATTTCTGTCCAATTTATACCTGGAAGTGCCCTGAAATTGCCCCTTGGTTTCCCATGGGACTCTAGGGACTCCCCTTAAGTTCCACCTGATCAATATCACATTCTCTGAAGGCTGCCAAATCCTGTATACATCAAGGGAAATCTCCCTAAACAATATCTTACCATGAAATCTCAATGCCCAGAAGATTAATTTGTAATTTTCAATACCAGTAAATGTATTCAAAGGATCTGCAAACGTTATATCATCCCTGGAAGACCAAGAAACAATAAAATTAACTAAATTTTCATTGGGAAACGGTAAGAAATATTTCAGAAACAGAATTCTAAGAAAATAAGAAACACCCAGATGAGGGAATTACCTATAAATGTCATAATTGAGGTCTGTGGTGAACAACATAGGCATATCATCACGGAGGGTCCTCACAGCTAGGCCAAGATTAACATAGAATTCGTCTCTTTGGTGATGGTGGTTCTTATCCGGTGCATCTGGGGGTGTGCTGACCTGGGAGTCCTGCAGGATTGGTGGGGATTGGGCACTGGCAAGGGAGAGAGCAGATAGAGGTTCAGGTTTGAGTTTTGGAGTTTGAGGGAGGGATTGGGGAATTGGTTTTTCTTTGGAGGTATATTTGGGGTGGAGGAGAGAAGGTGAGAGATTTGGCAGAAGAAAAGCCATGAGCTTTCTGTTCTATTTGATCTCCAAAGATTTTAGCTTTTCATGGTGAGAGAGAGGGAGAAATTAGAGGTTCTTGGGGGGGTGAATTTGTGATGTTCAGACAAACTGAAGATCTTGAATTTTGAGTGGTTTTAAAGATAGCAAAGAAAAGTATCTAGTTTTGGGCATTGAAAATTGAATCAAACAATGGGCTTCATTCAAAGGCTTTTTTGTCTGTTCCAATTTCGGCAAAATAATTACTCCTATTGCCTGCACCTTTATCTTCTTGGAGTGAGGATACTAGAATGTTAAAACAAGCCTTTATAATATTGAATTATAGGTATACTAATCAAATTCTTCCAAGAAATTTTCAAAGAGAATTCTCAAATCCCTCTCTTCCACCCAATCAACAAAGAAATTGAGAAAAAAAAACATTAATAATAACCCATAGCAATCCCCAGACCAACACCCATGTAACCTGATGGCAAAGTACTAACAGTCAAAAGTCTTGAATTTGATTCCTAGACCCTAGGCAACTCAAAAAAAAAAATTTTTTTAAAGATTTTTTTAAATTTATAATGTAAGGATGTAATTTAAGATGTAATAAATTTATATTTTTGTAGTAAATTTATATTAAAAATAAAAAATTAATATTTAATTTATTAATTATTTAATTAAATTTGTTTAATTGACACAAATATTAAAATTAATATTAACTTTTACATTTCTCTATATACATTACATTTATGACAAAAATATTCCCTTAAGACACAGACTAAAATAAACAAAAAAAAAAAAAAAAGGTGTAAAACCTCCTAAAAGTGCAAATTTTATTTCGAATGACTTTTCTTGGTCGGATAAGGGCGCAATGGAAAAATCCATGTACATCCTCCCCAGTTTGGAGAGGAAAAACAAAGAAGGCATATTTTCTTAGAATATCCCAATAAAAAAGTTCCGCCCTTTTATTCCACTCCCATTGTCTTTTCACTCCAATTTCTGTATGACTTGTTCTTAAGTGAAGATAATGAATTAATGGTCACCCTTTACAGATGAAAACTCGAACTTTTGAAATTATATTCAGTTCCACAAACGTCACATTTTAACTACATTTAACAAAAATATATGGTAGAACTTGGAAGTGATATACATACACAACTCATATTACATGATTGATTCATAACAATATAGAGTTATAGACCCATTTGCGTTTCGAGCTCCTTCACAATGGACAATGATATTCACTTGGGCCTCCTAACCCAATTTGGATAACGAACTGAGTAGCTTGTTTGTCATTGATCATCTAAAAGAGTAGAAGGTAATCAATTGAAGGTTGCAAGCAATTTCAAGAGCAACAATTTCCAACAAATTAATCCTAGCAATTGCACATAAAATGTATTAAAAAAGTCAAAAATAAGTTATATAATGTGACATTGTAATATTACCACATGATTAATACAGTAGACAGGGAGGGGAATATGGATTTTGACAACTCCAATATAATAATAAAATCAGTTCAAGTTAGAAAACACTGAAGAACTTGAATGGTGAATTCCTGCTTAAATCAATGAAAACAAATGTATAGTGTCCCTTAAATGCTCACTGGGGTTTACGATCATCACCACAAACCCTATGTTAAAATCACTCCCATAAACAAAATTTAGGGGAGAAACACACCAATTTGAAATCTAGTTGCCCAACCGTTTCCCCAAGAGACAACAAAAAGGGATTAAGGAGAGAGACAATATAAATAGATCTGGCTTCAAGGGAAGGAGTCCATATGGGAACTGAAAAATCCACATTGACCAGAGAGTGAAGCGTTCACAGAAAAAAAGAGCAAATTTTTTTGAAACAATACCCTAACTTGCAGATCTCGCAAAATGGAGAAATAGAGAAAAATTAAACTAAATAAAAACAGGTTTGGAATTGATTTAGATGAAGATAGATCAGCAATCTGGCTTGGATCTCCAACAAATTCAGAGAAAAATAGCACAGTATGTTCAGCTTCGATCATCTGGGGAAATAATCATCATTTCCGTCTACATCTATCGACTAAAATTCATAATCAAAATACAGGCAAACACCAGAATCTCAGCCTCCAACAGATGAAAATTCAATCTTTTGAAGTTACAGTCATTTACAAAAACATCACATTTTTACTATAATTAACAAGAATACCAATGCAAGGAATGATGGTAGAACTTGAACAATGTAACACCATTAATTAATAAAGATAACATTTTTGAGTTCCTTCACAGTTGCTGATGAAGGAAAATACATCAGGCCGTGCCAATTGGAATTCTTTCCATTACATTTTTGAATCAATAATAACTAAAGACCTCACCTTTCCTGACCAAGTGAAGTACTTTGTTTATTATTAATCTAAAAGGTAATGAATTGAAGCTTTCAATTTCCAGAGCGATAATATTCCCAGACGATTAAGAGTGCGTGAAGATAATGTATTTCCCCGACGTCCGAATACTACATGATTGAAGCAATGGATAGCGAGGGGAAAAATGGATTTTGGCTTCAACGTGACTCAAAAATCATAATACAATCACTTCAAGTTTAAAAAATGTGAAGCCTTTGAATCGTGAATTACTGATTAAAACAATGGAAAACAAAGGGGGGAAATGGGAGAAATGATATACAGAACTCAGTCCCTTAGATGTTCATAATGTTTGCGATCATCACCGCAATTCATTACAGGTCTGTTTGACTCATCACCGTTCTCATCTTCACTCCCATCAATAAGATTTTAAGTATTGATTTGAAATCTAGTTGCCCAAGTGTTCTCCCAAAAACAAGAAAAGAGGGTTTTAGGGAGAGATTATAAAAAAGCAACACAATGAATCTTGCTTCAAGGGAACGAGTCACATGGGAACTGAAATATCCACACTGACCAGATAGTGAAGCATTTTCCCGTTAAAAAGAAGAAACCTTTAAAACAAAACCCTAACTTCCAGAGCTCACAAAATCAAGAAAAATATAAAACTAAATCAAACTGGATTGGGGTTGATTGATTTAGATGAAGATGGATCAGCAATCTGGCTTGGATCTCCAACAGAGTTAGAGAAAATCGCGCATTATGTTCAGCTTCGATCATCTGGGGAAATAATCATCATATCCATCCACATCATTCAACTAAATTTCATAATCAAAATTGTAGGGACATCTGAATGCACAACAGCAAAAACACCGAGTGCCAGAATCTCAATCCCAAAGAGATCGGTATTGGCAACGTACAGCGCTGAAAACGCTATTGAGGAAAAGCGCATCAGAGACTCTAATTTATTGCCTGTTTTTTTTCTACACAAAAATTGCAAATCAATAATGAAATTAAGCTCAGAGAGTATAGTTTTTGAGATTGCATCAACAAGCTCGCAAAGAACTCTCATAGTTTGATGGTATATTTCCGTCATCATAGCTTTCCAATGGAAAAAAAAAAAAATTAACAAAATTCAAAACAAAATAAAAATTATTACTTGATTGTTGCCTCAGACTGTAGAGATTGAGCTCATCAAGGAAAACTCAGATGGTACGGACAATTCTCTAAACATCACCGGCAACAATTCAGTGAAAATCAAACAGGAACGAGAAATTAGAGAAAGAGTAGTAAATAGAAGAGATAGAAGGACAAGGGAAGAAGACGACGGCGGGAAAGGATAGAAAGAGGACGTGGGATGGATAATTGGGAACGATGATGTATAAATAGCAGTAGGATAACGAAACCCTAATTTTCTGCATATGGCGAAATTACAATAGAGTCGCTCTTGCAGTTTGGGACGGTCGTCAAGCCCATAATCGGATTGGGCCGTTGAATTTCTAAATTTAATGGCCCACTGTTTTCTATTGAGGGATTATCAATAAAAATTTAGATTAAATAAATGTCAAATTTAGTTTTTAATCTTTTAAATTTTAAATACTTTTAATTCTTAAACTAGTTTTTATGTTTTTTTAGTTCTTAAATTATGAAAGATACACTTTTTTTTTTAAGTACATTTTTCATAATTCAAGGGCTAAAAAGTGCAAAAAATAATTAAAGAATTAAAAATATTCAAAATCAAAAGCTCATGAAAATTTGACATTTAATCAGAATTTTATCTAAAAATTTCTTATATAAGGGGGGATTTTTTTAATATAAGGAATATTTTTTTAAAGCTAGAAGAAGTGGAAAGCAGGTTTAGTTCTATGTTTTCTTCTTTTTTTTTTTCTTTTTTTTTTAACTAACTAGATTGAAAGCAGTTGAAGAGATGAATAAGAAAGAGAAACAAACAGCACCCAATAATTCGAGTTTGGATTGCAGAACACATTTTTGATGATATATACCCATCTAAGATACTCCCTGGTTTCAGTATCAAAATTCAACCCCAGGGGGAGAATGTCACATATACCAAATGGAGTTGAGTGCAAGAGCAGAATGGATAACAAGTTCAGCCTGAGCTCTCCACTACTAGTCTACTACCAGGATCTCAAGCAAATATTTTGGGGGTGGCTCAACGAAGAGACCAACTCAACATTATGCAAAGAATAAAACAAAGCAGTTCCGAGCATGAACTTGAGGATCAGCTCCTTTAGATGTTGCCAAAGATGAACTGGGACATGTAGCCAGAAGTAATTCAAATCCTGTGAGAAGTTACACCTCTAGTTTGATCTAGAGCTTCAATATCCAAAAACCTCCAAGTGGACTAGAGGCTTGACCATTATGGATTATTCTCCAGCCTTTTAATCATACCAAGCATAAAAAGTTTCAAAGTTGTGGCCATCTGTGATCATGTTGCAAGTCTTAGCATAATCAACAAGCAAAGAAGCTTCTGCAATTCAGGAGCAGCAGAGTCTGATTGTGCTCGATAATACCTTCATGAATGAGATAACTTAAGGCTCCTGCATAAGCAATGAAAATTAATCAATCAACATATATTGATCAAATGGATGGTAACATTCCATTCAGTTGAAATTTGAAATATTTGAAATTGAAGCAATCTTTTTAAGGGACCAACTTACAGTTAAATCTGATGCCATCCAAAACAATATTGCTAACATCCATCATGAACCAACTGGCTAATCACATCCCTCCACCGTGGTTGAAGTGTTCTACATAACATAAACGCAAGTATTCTCAAAATAAAATTCTACAACAAAAACTTTTCATAAGGTCTCAAATCTGAAGTATTTGATGAAGTTACTTCTTCACAATCACAAACCCGTATTCTTTTTGGATGGACATAAGCATGAAGATGGCAAAAAAAAAAAAAAATTGGAGACCAGAAATTCAGAGATCAAAATCTTCAAAAATGTGGTAGCTGAGGCCAAAGATAGAAAGAAACTAGATAATGGATAGGAGTAGAAACACAATATACCTTCTTGGGGCTAACTTGTACTTTTGTTCAAATCTGTCTCTAGCAAATTTCCATTGAGGCTGTATGTCATTTGATTACAACTGTCAAGAGGTATGAGATAACTTGAATATGAAAGTGCATATGCTACTCTGAATCTACAACTCCTGCAAACAGATTTAGTGGCTAAAGCTATGAGATATTGAAAAAAATGTCATGTAGCAAACTAGCATTTCATCTCAAAGTTGTAACATGATATCGATTTATATGTGGATAATAACAGAAAATAAATATATTGTAACATAGAAGTTAATGCCTAAAATTGTTAAAAACATATGGAATAAAGAAAGGAATGCGAGGATATGTGCAGCAGATTGCTTACCTGATGAATTCATGTATGACTGTCATAAATCAAAGGCCTTTCGTATGAGTAACTGGCTATTTGGCTTTTGACTGACCTGCTGAAGGGAAAAAATATAAAATTTGATAAGATAAAGGAAGAATAGGAGACAGGTGTTTGGAATTCATAATTAAAGAGTGAAGTTGCGAGAAGAAGAGGAGCTTAACATGTGAAAATAGACATACCTCTTGGGGTTGGCTGACCGTTTCCATCATATTCAATTCTAACGTTTGGAATGTGAGAAATCTTGGACCACTCAGGACCACTTTCCTTGTTGTATCTTTCCTTTAACTCGGGGCAATATCCAATTCGAAGCTCTTTCAATTTGGAGAGGCATCTGATGGCTTCTGCAGAAGGAAGATGTTTCAGATTCCTGCATCTCCTGATCTCTAGACGTTGAAGGGAGGACAAGTTTCCCAACCACTCTGGCAAAGCTTGCAGTTTATCAAAGTTCCATATCTCCAACTCCTTTAGAGCAGTGAGGTATTGAATTTGATGTGGCAGCTGGGTTAGTGTCTCCCATCCAAACAATTTCAACTCTTCAAGGGACCTGTTGATCGAATTCAACCCTGGGAAGTTCTCCAGCTCCTTTGAGAAAGGGCCAATTGACAATCTCTTCAAGTTACCAAGGCAGTCAAGAATCTCCACAGGGAGGCTCCTCAATTTTGGACAAAATTCAATTTTTAATTCAACAAGAGACTGCAGTTCCTGTACTTCTTTTGGAATGGAAATCAGGTTATCACAATTGCTCACCGTCAGCACCTCAAGAGCAGTGCAGGATGACAGGCCACTTGGTAGGTACTCTAATCCACCGCAGCCCACAACTACTACATTTTTAAGAGAGGCAAGACCGTCTAAACCCGGAATAAAGCTCAGATTAGGACATCCATAAAGATACAAATCTTCAAGGCATGTGGGTAGCCTGTCTCCCATGCTACTCCTCACCGTGCACAGTCTAATGTGGAGTTTTCGAAGGGACGATAATCTGCTGACTGGAACACATTCCAGACTGTCACATTTCTCAATGACTAACTCAGTAAGTGATGAGAGGCCCCTCTCTGGAACATTTTTCAACTTAGGACAGGATTTTATGACTAATTTTGTAAGGGACATGAAAGCAAATGCTCCATCATCATCCATACTAGTTAATTCAGAACAGTTGTCAATAGTAAGCAGCTGCAAAGATGGTAGCCCGTTGATCAATGGAATGCTCTTTAACTTCCTGCAGCCTCTAATTGTCAGCTTTAACAAGTTGCTGAGTGAGAACGATTCACTGCTCTTTGACATCCATGATGGCAAGTTTTTACCTCCATAACCTTCAATAGTTAATGTTTGCAGATTTGAGTGAGGTTCAAGGCCTTCCAATACATCTTCATCATTTTGATGAGTGCCTTGTCTCCATTTTAGCTCCAACTCATCAACTGCCTTCTCATGTAATTTTGCCGTCATGGCTTCTGATTTGTCTTTAACAAGCTGAAGATTGCGAATCTCTAATCTTCCTTTGAGTCTGCTTAAGCTTCCCAGTTCTTCAATCTTGCGTCCATCTTCCCTACCCACAAAGAACAACTGCAGTGTTTGAAGACTGGTTAATCTCCCAATGTGTGCAGGCATCTGTTCTTCATCACTGAAGTAAATGTGCTTTAAGTTGATTAAATGCCCTATTCCTTCCGGAAGCATTTTCAGATATTTGCAGTTCATGAATCTCAATGTCTGCAAGTTATACAACCTGGTAACGAACTTGGGCAGTTCTTTTATTTGAGTTCCTGAAATGTCTAAATACCTCAAACTCTTTGACTTTCCAAAACAAGTTGGCAATTCTTTTGCATCAGAAGCATCAACAAAACTGAGAGCCCGTAACCTTTTCAGATCCACTTGCACACCACCAGAAAAACCATGTTTTGAAAACAAAGTGTGTAGCTTTGGAGCAACATCTCCTAAAATTGTTGGCATTGTTTCGCCACCACAAATGAGATTCAAATGCCGAACATTAGAAATGTTGCTCCTAGAGTGAGTCTCCAAAATCACTGCCTCTGATTTTGAAACAGACAGTGCAAGATCACGAACTAAATTATGCATTTTGCAAGTTCTAACATTCCCCAAAGAGTCCCTTTCTTCCTCCTGCAATAGTGAATATGATAACAAGTCATTGAAATACTTGTTACCAATATCCTCCATTATTATAGAACTTTCTTGGCATGGCTGAAGAAAACCTTCAGCCATCCAAAGTTGAATTAACATCTCCCTCTCCATGGCAACATCCTCTGGAAAAATGGAACAAAATGCAAAACACTGCTTCAAAGCTGGTTCAGGTAAGCGATCAAAACTTAATTTCAGCATACAGAAGATCCCATTATCTCTTTCCAGTGAATTCCATGCATTCATTTTTTCAAGTGACAGCCACTCATCTTTGTCCCTTCTACCGTGTAAAGTCCCTCCTATAAGGTTTGCAACTAATGGCACACCTCTACATTTTCTAGCAATCTCTCTCCCAGTAACCTCTAACTCTAGAGGTACTGAAGAGCTTCCAAACGCCCTCTGCTTGATAAGACTCCAGCACTCTTCATCTGCTAGTGGCTTGGGGCGATACAAGTTTTCATGAAGTGCTCCCATCATCAATGCAACATTTTCACTTCGAGTGGTCACAACAACCCTGTTCATCCCCTTGATTTCACTCATTCCCAACAAACAATCCCTCAAATTCTCCCACTTCCATCTTTGCTCATTCTGGACATCATCTAGTATGAGAAGATAATTTTTCTCCCTCAAACCCATCTTTATTTTTTCCACTACAGTCTTCCTGCCACTGATATTCTCACAGACACCCCCAGTTACAAACTCCAACATCTCCCTTAAAATCCTATCCACATCAAAATTTTCAGACACACGAATCCAAATTACCTTGCCAAAATGTTGATGAATTCTATTAGTTTGGCACACTGATTTCACCAAAGTAGTTTTCCCTAGTCCAGCCACACCCACTATAGCTAAGACAGGGAGAGGGAGGTCTTGGTGATTGCTTGAGTCAATCAACAAGCTAACTACTTTACAGACATCTTCTTTTCTTTCAACAAATTGTGATGGACAAGTAAAAC